TCCAGAATCGGAAATTCTTTTTGACGTAATCGAAAGTTCAAGCTTACTTTTATAAAATTGCTCTAACAGTCTGCAAAAAATAATAAGCCGGATTCAATTAGAAGATTAAGGAACAACGCAATCTGCAACATTGACTGAAATAGATAATTAGATAATTTTAGCTTAGCTTATACCGTCCGTTACACACTAGATGCGCATGCGTAAACGTATTATGCGCATCCGTATTATGGACGTCTGGATTAAAGTCTTTTCACTGTACTACCTTTTAGACTCTAGTGTAGAATTGGGTGCCCCTTCAATTAGCGACAATTTTTTAAAATTTCTGCCGATGAAATCTCACCTCTGGTTACTATGATAGTTTTAACTTTGTTTTAGCTTCCTGATTTTATTTAAATGAAAATAAATTGATGTGTACATGGACAAATTTAAGGCAGTGTGCAATGCCTGGATTTGTGCAATTCTGGGATTTTTTTTTAAGTGAAAACAGATCAATGTGTACATGGACACAGAGTTTGTGCAATTCTTTGACTTCTTATTTTGGTTTTGTGTAGCAGCCATTTTAAAATTGTGCCTTCCTGGTGTCGATCTTGGCCTTAAAAAAGAATCGCCAAGAAACAAGGGACATCCAAATGTAAACTTTTACCAAATTTTATTTCCATTTTTTTAATGTAAATTTTTTTATTATGCATTGTAAATTTATTTATTTATTTATTTTGTTGACACAGAATTTCATGTCGGGGGACTGGCTTGACATTTTGAGATTGAGTGTAAATATTGTATAGAAATACACCCCCTCCTTTCATTCATTTTCTTTTAATAATTTTACTCAAAAGGTCAAATGGAATGAAATGTGAATTCAGTACTTCCTAATTGTTCTGATTTTAATGTTTTCAGTTATTACCTCTTGAGAAGTTGGTTTGAAGCATTTAAATATGAATAATATTTAAATTTTCACTTATAAATTTATATAATTTTTTCCAATAAATTATTAATTTTTTCAAAAGTAGTTTTCAAAAATCTTCTTCAATGCACATATTACTTGGATATAAAATTTAAGGGTACTTTTAATTCAATTTATAGAATTTTCCTGGATAGTATAATGTCTTCTAATTTATAAATTTGAAAGTTTTTGATGTATATATTTTGCATAACTCAAAAACGATTAGCTGTAGAACATTTAAATTTTGTATATGGGATTGCTCTAACATCTAGTTGTGCACCTCCCCTTTTTTATTGCAATTGACAGAACAAAATGTGCATTGATAAACTGAAAATGCCTAATGTGGAAAAAATATAAACCAATTTTCACCAAACAAGAAGGATTCCTGTAATCTAAGTACAAAATATATAGGAAGAGGAATGCAATCAAAATCTGATTTAACTTTATCAAGAGGAGGTAGACCAGATTCAATTGAATCTCTTCCCCAAGGGTGACAATGTTGGTTAATATTTTTTTTTATATTTATTAGGAATTTAAAATTTTACTGGTATTGAATTTCAGTGCTTTCGTGTCGTGAATTTGGTTCCAAATTTCTTACTTTACACTGTCATCTATATACAGTGTCGATCCTAGAATGTTGGCCGCTCGCATGCAAATTAAAATTGGCCACCCTTTTTTACTGAAATATATGTTTGATAATCATTTTGTCGCTCTTAAATATGACACACCCACTCTCATATATTTCTAATTACAGAAGTGTTTTAAATGACAAAAATATTCATGTTTTGGCATATTTACAACATTCATGTCAAATTAAAAAAAATGTAATTGATCTTTCTATGCAGTTTCCGATTCCTATACGTATAGTTGGAAAAGTTTTATATTTGTTACGAAAAAATAAAATTACGAGAAATTTGACTTCCATATGACAAAAATTAACTGGGTTATTTAATTTCAAAATTTGCAATTTTTATATCATTTTCAACTTGCCTTGGGAGGAATCAGTTAATTAAGCTAGAATAAATTAAGTAAGTTTAAATGAGGTGCAGCAAAAAATGTGTATAATTTAATAGGCCTAACAAGATCCACATCAGATTAGCTCTTTTTGGTACAGTCAAATACCAAAATTCCGCCGACCTGAAATCCGCGTTGCCTCTCAAAATATAAACATTCAGTTTATAGGTTCCGGAAACCACAACATTGAGTACGAAATATAGAAGAAGAAATACTTACCGAATAATGATGTCATAATTACTGAATGATAATGAGTCATAACGGAAATACCAAATTATTGACATCATGATAAAAGTTTTTCCTCCTCTAATCTGCATCGAGGTAAGGAAGCAGACGATTCACTCAACTCTTCTTTCAAATTCACGATTCACGTTGTTTTGTTATTTCACGAAATTATTTGGTGCTGCGTTTTTTTTTAATCTGGATATTTTATGGATAAATTAAGAATATTTTAAATTTCAGCCCTTTTTAATACAATTACAGATTAGAAACGCACTCATGATTTTACTGCTTGCAACGTTGAAAAACGTAATCACGTTGCATTGACAGTGGTAATGCAAAAAAGTGCAAATTCTGCAAAAAGATGGAGACAGGTGCATTTTATAGCGGAGTCGGTTTATAGCAGAATCATATGGAATTGCGATACGAATTGTGTATGATGTACAGAAAAATAAAGAAAAGCTGTTGGAAATGTTACAGCAACAGTGATTCTAACATCCGGAATCTGAAACCGGAAATCTTCACATGGAGGCGAAATCGGCAAACATCGACGCTGTGTATATATAATACAGTGAATAATATAATCAATTTATACATGTAATAATAATTTAATGCATATAATAAGTTATTGCAATAATGTATATAATAATTTAATTAAATGTATCTAATACGCCATATTTATTTTCCACTTTTAGTCTGAATATTATGATTTATCTTTCTGTCCTGAAATCCACACAACCTCTGGTCCCAAGCTTTGCAGATTTCTGGAATTCTACTGTACCATAAATAACTGTTTACCTATGAAAAACTAAGACATGCATTAGTTTACTGAATGAAACCTCATGCTGAGCTGCTTGATGCAATCTTGGTGTTCATATTATGCTGCTCGATGCAACTGTACTGATTGCATGAACTTTGATTGCAGTACATGAGTTGAAATCTTATATAAGGATGACTGGCATTAGGGATTTTGAGCATGTGCGAAATTTACAGGTTTTAAACTCTGCTGCTTATTGGTTCTTAAATTTCTCTTAATTTCTGATGCCTGGGATTCATATAGTAAAATTGCAGATCTTGTACATTTCATGCAAAGAAGTTGCTATATGGTTTACAAAAGAAAAGCATCCCCCCAAAAAGTAAATAAAAAGGGTACTGAAAATTATATATTTTTTCACTAAATGATAAGCATTTAAAGAAGCTATAATTCTTCAGCTAGAAAGCATATATTGTTTTGCATGCTACTGCATTGTTAAGGATTTATGGCAAAACTTTAAAGTGTGACACATTTTAGGGAGATTTTCCTTTATATAAAGTTTGCAGCTGCTTGAATTACTAAAAAAAAAAAAAAAAAAAAAAAAAAAAAAAAAAAAAAAACCCAAGTTAACATCATGAAACTATTCTGGGGAATATTTAGTTGAAAATATGGCACTTGTGTATTAGTACAACCACTTTAGTTGAGTTTAGTGATTTGCAGTTGTAGTGTGATTAGGTTATTTTGAAGCAAAAAATGTGCATTGCCTTAGCCAGGACTCGAACCCTGGACCTCTCGAATATGCATCGAGTATGCTTCCAATTACACCACGAAGCCATGCAGAAAGGAGGGAGAAAATACCTTATATGATATTTCCATATCATCCTGTTGGTACTGCAAGCTGGCTGTCACGAGAAATTGGAAGTTAACAGAGATACAGCCAAAGTTGCTTCAGTCATTCTTGCTGGATTCTGAAGGAATTCATGCCTTTTTATTTGATAAACAATTGGAATTTGACCAACTTCGTTGTTTACTTCTTAAAACAACTTTGATTTCTACAATTTTGTTAGGCACTCCAGTTTTACTAAAAGATTTTTTGCAACACTATGAGTATAAACGTATAGATGAGATAGTTGTTTCAAATTAGCTATTATTGCTGTATTTTTTCTTGTATTATGAAAAAAAGATTAAAAATTGGGACCTGCTTTCTACAGAACTGTAAGTAGCGGAAGTTATGGAATCCTACCATGAAACAAGACGTGTATGATATGGTAAGCTAAATACAGCCAACAAAATAATAATAGATTGGAACAATTACTTATGGGAAGTTTGTACTCAAAGCTTTCTAAACGGAACTATCATTAAAATAGAAGAGCCTAACAAAAGGCTAGAGAACACAAAAGCATTTTTATTACATTGCAGTGACAATGCCATAGCCATCAAGAATTTAAAGAATGGTGATTATCTGTAGTATGGTTTTAAATCCAGAAAATATCACTGTTTTGTCTTTGAGTTACATTTTAATTTCATATGGTGATAATTCAGAAAAAATCTTTATGCGAAATAAATCTTCCTTAGAGTAATATAAATAAAGTGTATTTTTAATTTTATAAGTTTTGTGCTTAACCTTTTGAAGATGGGATGGCCATTTAGTGGCCATAGAGTCCTCTCTCTGAAAAGACGGGGTTGTCCAATTTAGTGGCCATGTCTTTTTCCCCCATTTACCAGACTGAAAAATGGGGTGAAATGTCAAATTTGACGTCCCTGGGGTTTTAACCACTTATCTCTTTCAAAGGTCTTCCTTTTGCGACATAGATGCACCCCTCTGAGAATCCATTAAACTACACACAAGAATCTTTGTTGCAAATAGGAGGAGTTTTCTTAAAGGGGGGAAACATTCGGTTCGAGATTCCCCGTCCTTTGGTAGCTTTTACTGCTACCAAAGCCCCGGCCTCAAAAGGTTAAACTGGTAATTCAGAATTTGGAAATTTCTTAAAACCGGAGAGCCCAAATATTGAACTTTGTACTTTTTTTTTTTTTAAATAATGAGTATTTCATTTTTAGTAATTCTGAATTTATTTACAGAGTTCAGGGGTAATTTTAGCTGGATTAGCTCTTGCTGCTGCCGGTTACACAGGTAATATTTTAAAAATGTATCTGTTTTTTAAATCACAAACTGTATTTTGAGAAATTATTTTATTGGAGTTCATTCAGTTCTTTTGTTGAAAATTATTTAATTATTTTAGCCATTATACCATGTAAAATCAAAGTGACTAGTTTCTGTAATGTGTTTTGCAATATCTTGCTTGAATGTTATTGCACATCTATAATATTTCATTTATTTCTCAAAGAAATATTTTGACACTTTTAGGGAGCATCATAATTTCTTCACTAAAAGAAAACATTTTTTTTTTAAATTGAAAAATATTAATTAAAATATTTCTCCCATTAAAACCAGAATCGATATGCTTACTGCAACAAGAAAAAGGCAGAAGTTAAAATTTGGTGGCAACAATTTGAAAAGTGAAACAGCCATTTAAAGTGTTTGACACAAAATACCAAAACAAAATTAATAGCCCTTCTTGGGGTAATTCCATTTGGGCTAATAAGGATATAATTCACCAGTGCAGTAAATAAATAGAGCCAAATAACCACAAATATTTGCATAATTTTTACATCATCATCAGTGTCTGAAATATTTTTATAGTACTAAAAGATTTAAAGAGATGTTCATTTTCTTTTTTCAGGAAGATTTCTTTCTAGAAATGCAAAGCATTGGGCAGAAGCTTTAGAGAAACAGTTGAAAGCTTTCCCTACTTCCAGTGTAAGTATTTTCTGAGAAAGGGTCAATTATGTTATGAATATAGAGAATTATTTTTCTGTATGTTTCTGCTATTGTATATTTTGTTTTGCTGTTGTATATATGGCTACCAAATCAAATTAATTTCTTTCAGTTTTTCATTTGGAGTGTCGCAATAGTACCTTAATATTTGAGATACATAAAATTATGTAATTTTCTCTTTAGATTTTTGTATATAGTGATATCTCAGTTAATTTGTTGATTGATTCTGTAAATTGTTTTCATTGAAATAGCTTAAAAAGGGATTTGAGAAAATATTTATGTCTGCATTGTATTTGTATTAATGTCTGCATTGTATTTATGTATATGCCTGCATTGTATTTATATATTTTTATTTAGTGTCAAGTATGTTTTTTTAATTACAAGTATATATAGTACTGAAACAACCAATATTTCTGTCTAGAGTTTTGCCAATAGTAGATATTACAAAGGAGGTTTTGAATCTAAAATGAATCGTAGAGAAGCTGGATTAATTTTAGGAGTTAGGTATGTATTAAAAAATTTGTAATTATTTGAAGTTTATTTTTCTTTGTACTTAATTAAAATTTTGAGGAGTAGAGAAAAGATGAGTGAGGGAAAGAAAATAAAATAGATTGTTTAATTTCATTCTTCTTTCTCTCTCTCTCTCTCTCTTTTTTTTTTTTTTTTTTTTTTTTTTTTTTTTTTTTTTTTTTTATGAAAGAAAGACAATCAATTTGATTTTCTTGTCCCTAACTTTCAGCCAAATTGCAGCACAATAATTAAGTTTTGCTTTCTTTGACAGCTGTCAGATATACCGTATGTTTGACGCACATTTCGAATAATATTAATGTAAATCTTTTCAACATTTGTGTGAAGCAGTTTCTAGATTCGTTCTTTACATCAGCATGATTAACTAGACACCATGATTTCAACAATGATTTTTTTTTTTTTAAACATGAGAATGATATTTAAAATTTGGCAAAAGGTAATCTTAGTTTGGTATAGATTTTGGTGTGTTTCTAAAGAAGAGGGACCTGTATTTAATCACCCTCAAAATTTATAGAGCTGTGGTTCTGAACCATTTTTGTTCCACGTACCCCTTTTACCATTGTTAGATGATCATTTACCCCTTCATCTCCAAAACTCAAGTAAAAAAATGCATTTATTTAAATTTAAATTATTTTGTAACATGTTTTATAAATTAAACAAGAAAAAGTGTAGAAAATGTTGATGAATATCAAAATTTAAATAAAAATAATTTTTTATGTTTATAAATTAAACCTTTGCAGTTAATAAAAGGCTGAATGCATTCCCCACTGAAATTATGAAATTCTTTCAGGAGGAGGTGAATTCCATCTTGGTTGAGAATACCCTCAATAGAGTATTTTTCAAAATCTATGCCAAAATAAAGTTGCATTTTTTCTCCATTTTTAAATTCTACATTGAGGCGTTTCTCTTCTAATTTGATGAGAATAATAAAGAACTATATGTGGCTGTGCCCCCCCCCCAAAATCTGTATTTGTGTAGTGATTAATTATAAGAACTCATTTCATATAAGGGGTGATTAAAAAAATTTCTATCCGAAAGCTGTACAGTCCAGATTTGGTATGCCAGTTATGCAAAATGGTTGAGTTTACACATTAGGTAAAACTCTTTTTTTTTTTTTTTTTTTTTTTTTTTTCTTTCTGCTGCTTGAAGAAGTCCGAAACAGCCTCCTGCACTTCTTTGACTGGAACCATCAACTTTTCAAGGTCTTTTGTAAAGGATTGAAAGCATGAAAATCTCATGAGCAGAGATCAAGACTATTAGGCAGGTGCTTGAGTGTCTCCCACTTTGGTGTGTGTAACTTTTGCATTATGACATTGCATTATCATGATGTAGAATCACCTCATTCCACAGTTTTCCTGGATACTTTGCTTTAATTGTATAAGCTTTACAACATTTCCCAGTACCATTCCTCATTAATGGAGACATCTGGGTCCTTGAAATTAATAAGCAAATGGGCCTTGGAAATCAAAGAACGGGGTAAGCATCACCTTTCCAGCAGATGACTTTCTTTTGAACTTCTTAGACCAAGGGAACAAAGAATGATACCACAGCATAATTGATGCTTTTGACTCAAGTTCCCAGCACTCTGGTTCCAGGCACCAGCTTTCTTCACCAGTAAGAATGCACTCTAGGGGCATGTTGCCTTCAACATTGAAATGCATCAGGTGCTTCAGGCAAATAGCCAACCAGTTAAATTTTTGTTCAGGATCCAATGCCCGGCATATCTACTGGCTGCAGACCTTACAGTAGCCTACGTCCTCCCAGATAAAGCATTGCATGCTACTGAAGCTTATGTCAAGATCCTTTGAAACCACATTCTGCCCTAATTGTATCATCAACTGCCGACTTGTTGTTTTCTGTAATGGATGTGGAGGGCCTCCTAGATGGACTTGAGAATTAAGTGAATCGCAACCAGAACAAAACATTGAGGGTGCTACTTTGGTAGATGGTTGCACGGATTTTTGGCGATTTACGTCGGCGTGGTTTTTACAGTCGTCAGCCATCTTGAAAACTGCTGTTTTTACGTATTTTACGCATATAGTAAAGTATTCGAAACTTTAAAAAAATAAGTATCGTTAAAAATAATGGATTAATTTTTTGTTGAAAAGTTGTTTTTTAAGATGGCTGGCAAATGTAAATAAATACATTTACTAAGAGTATAAAATGCTAAGGTAAGGTTTAATTATTACTTTCATATAATAGAATAAAAACACTGCTATAAAAAAGAATTAAAATATTACTTAAATTTAAAGACATTAAAAGAAGTTTCATAGAATTTAATTATTTAACATTAAAAGATGTGTGGCAATAAATATCTCAGGAATTTTTGAAAACATTGTATTAATTTTTTAATAAAAATTGAAGTATACAGTTATAAAGTAAAAAAAAAAAAAAATATGTACTTACTTTTTTTTTTTAAAGTATTTTACCTGTCGTATATTGATAAGTACCACAAAAAAAAAAAAAAAAAAAAAAAAAAAAAAAACGATCTTCATTTGTGATCCACATCTCTTGCACTTCATTGAAGAAGCAATTAGCGAGGATTCCTCCAAAAATTTTTAATAAATCTTCTCTGACGCTTATAACAATTTATAAATAAATCTTTGATTAGGAAAGCCAGGTTGGCCAAAATAAGGTCTCAAAAGGCAATTTTTTTATTCCGATACCAATAATTCTTGGTAATTACCAATAACAACATTCATCTTCGAAACGGACATATCCATTCTATTTGAAAACTGAGGAATTCAAAGAGATGAATAATACAATTTTAAAATGGCACGGTAATGCACAAATATTCAGTAACCAATCAGGGAGCTGATTACATCATGCATAGAATTTATATTATTTAAGTAATCATTCATAATAAAAACATTTTAAAAAATGCAAAATTAAATTATATTTTAATATTTAACAGCCATAAATAATGTTTAAACATTAGATTAAATTTATAGATATTAAAACTAATTACTTTTAAAGTAAGGCGACACATCCACAACATAAAATATCATAAACAATAAAATTTTTATTTCAAATAAAAATGCAAAATTAAATTGATTTTTAATATTTAGAAGCCATAAATAATATTTAAAACACGGAATTTATGCATAATAAAACAAATTTTTTTAAAAATAAAATGACAACAAAGTATCGGTTATCATAAATAACTTATCCTGCAATGGATTTACCATAAGTCGTATTGCTCGCCAAAAGAAAAATTGCCAAAATCCGTGCAACCGTCTACCAAAGTAGCACCACATAGAGCACCTCCACAGTGGTGGTTTTTGACAGGTATGCTTCTCCATTCACATTCTTCGTTCCTCAACGAATGTCTATCGGTTTTTGTTCTTCAGCAGGGAAGAAAAGAATAACAGCATGTTGGTCCTATTTGAATTCATTTGGTAATAGCATCACCATTGTTCATGTTCGAGCATTTTACACACACTCTTGGGAAATAGATGATTGCTACAATAATCTCATGCCAACATGCTTATGCTGACATACCTGTGTGAGTGATTGAGTAATTTGCATAAATTCAGTGTTGGTCCTGTTTGAAACCATTTGGTATAACATAATCATTGTTAATGTTCGAGCATTTTCCACACACTCTTCAGAAACAGATGATTGACACAGTAATCTCATACCAAGATCCTTGTGCTTATGTACTCACCTGCTTGAGTGATGGAGTAATTTGCATATGTGCTGCTATGAGGTGCTAAAATGGAAACTTTTTGATCGCTCCTTATACTTCTATTGTCAGAAAACATTTCATCAATTTTACATGAGAAATTTCAACATTATAACTTGCTATTTGTTAATAAAATTTTGTATACGTGATGAAATTTCATTTCTCCTTTGTACTGACAATATTAGGTTTTAAATGTTTTTGATCAAAAAACTTTTGTGAGCTATTAAAGAAATGTAATTTTATTTTTTGCATATCTTATGGAAAGAAGACTTCATAGTGATCTCTTGTGATATTTTTTAATATGACTTACGGCTATAGCTTGGGTTCTTTAAATAATCATTTAAATTATTAATTATTTAGTTCTTCATGTTTCAGGAAATTTTTATGCAAACTTTAGAAATAAGATTTCATTTAATGGGATCAGCTTTAGGATGAGGACATTTGTCAATATAAAAACATCAGAGAATATCATTTGATACTAATTATGTACATATACTCCAAAACTGAATATGCAACTGATAAAAAATTGTAGCCGGTGATTGAATACATAGAAACTAGATCTGAGAATGGCAATGAGAAAATCAAAGGATAGCTAGCATCTGTGATACTGTTATTTTTAAAAAATCTATAAAATTGGAATACTAGTTGTTAACACTGGAATAATATTTAGTTTTATAGGCTTGTACACAAAAACAATTTAAAACTTCTGAAAAATTATTAAAAAAAAATTATTTTCATAATTTTATTTTTTGTGAAGTAGTTGTCTAATTAAATAAGCGAAAAATAGTTTCATTCTTCAGTTTAATTGAATTATTTTCTGTATTTTATTTAGCAGGTGAAAAATATCTTATTTAGCTATTTATATCCTTATTTAAAAAAAAAACTGGATAAAATGTAACAAATTCCCGTTTCACATAACAATTAAGATTTACTGTGGCTACAGGGAAAAAAATGCAATTATCTGTATTTTCTAATTACCTTGATGGCTGTGATCACAGATAATACAGGTATTTGAAATTTTATATCTATTTTACCACATCTGAAATATGCTATTTTTGGGGGTGAATTGTGCTAGTGTTAGTGCAATTAAACAAAATGGATTTTGTATTGCAAAAGAATAAAAACAAGTTTAATTTTTTTCATTTTAAATTAATGGATATCTGTCTTACATTAATTAGCTTCCACATTATTTTTTAAGAGAGTTCAGATGAATTATTTGGATTACAGCAAAACACACAAGGGATATTTGCATAAAGTCTAGATTTTTAAGAGAAATTGGGTCATAATCAAATTACTAAAGCCATGAAAATGTCATGGAGCCAGCCTATTTGCCTGTAATTTGAACCTAGGCTAAACTACCAACACTCAGCAATCTTACTGCTCAATCATTATTGGAACTTTTTTTTTTTTTTTTTTTTTTTTTTTAGGGAAGTAGATTATTAATAAACAGAGGCTTAACTGTATAATTTTCTTAATAATTGTTTTTAAAACTTTAAACGGCTGACTGATATGCTAAAAATTTCTAAATGCCATTAATATTAAACATCTGACTAAAGATACTGAAATTCTTCTTTTTTCCCTTTTTCATATAGCCCATCTGCAAGTAAAAATAAAATTAAAGAAGCTCATAAAAGAATAATGCTTTTAAACCACCCTGACAGAGGTTTGCATTTTCTTTTTTTTTTAATATTTTAAAATATATTATTGGAATTCAACTACTTTTTGCTGATGTAGTTGTATGGCTGTATTGGCCATGAAATTACATTAGCAGAAAGTAGTTAACCATAAAACTGCATCAGCAAAAATAGTTGAACTATTGGCTGCATTTCATGTAAATGAAATGCAGCCAATAGTCTAATGATTTATTTAGTGTGTATTCTTTACTACCCAATTATTCATGATTTTGAAGTGAAACCCATATAAAGTAATATTTTGTTCATTGCTTCTGTAGCCAAAAAGCAAAGGCCTTTCTCATCTTTTTTCCTTCAAAGAATAACATGTTTTTTCATAACATTTTTAATAGATAATTATCAACTAATGTAAATGGTTTTTATAAGAATAGACAGGGCGGATTTAGACTTGATAAGGCCCTGAGCTATTTGATATATGGGGCCCTTTATAAGCCCAGATACTATATATGTGAGTGTCAAATATGATTTTCAGATACCTATAGGGTTTTTTCGGAGACCCCCAAGAAAGCAGGGACCCCAAGCTATAGCTTGTGTTATGTAAATCCTGGACTGAGAATAGAGGAAGAAGTATTAGAAACATAGTCCAAATTTTGTACGACCTTTTATTTCATAAAAATGACATTAAGTTCAACAGAGCTAACAATCTAAGCTATTTTATGTATGTTATGAAATATATATATATATGTTATTTAAATTTTCAATTATGAAATCCTTTATTCTTTTTTCTTGATTGTAGAGTTTTCCTTTTACCAAGCCAAAAAATAGCACATAGCAGTTCTTGAAATCTCTGTTTCATTCTTTATTTAAATTGCTCTCATAATTGCAGTTAATGTTTGAAACTATTGCAGCTAATGTTTGATGACTCATATAGTTGTATAAAATTGAAAAGTAAGATTAAAATCCTGTCTAAAAATGTTAAAACTAAAATTTTGTTTAACTACAGAACACTAGTGTTCTTCAGTTAAAATGCAGACAAACTGCATTACTTATTGTGTTGGCATAATTTGTTCTTGCTTCCTCTGATTCTTTTTAGAAAAATATTTAATTATTTATGACTCTATGCTTTTAGGATGTCATCCTTTATATTTCCATTCCTGAGGGCACTGCAGATAGCTTTCTTGAAATTTTGTCAGTTTGTCTTTTTGTTTATGGGATTTGTCTTTAACTTGGTTGCAGCTGAAAGAAGTGGTAGTGTTGAATACCTAAAAGAACTATTACTAGAAATAAATCTCTGTCTGTCAGTGTTGTTTTCTTGTATTTGGTAGCATCCCTTTGCTGAATTGCATCTTTTTTCAAATGTGTTTTTAAGTAAAGAGGTTTCATGTTAATTATTACTTGCTCTGACTTCATAAAGAAAATGATGACATTTTCTTTAAATTTGCACTTTTGGAAAGATAGCTCTTTTCTGAATGGCGCTGTTAATACAGTTTTTTTTATCTTCGAGAGGTTGTGTTTAAATTGTTTGATATGCAGTTGGTGTTTAATAAATAGAAAAGGTCTATTATTTGTGCATGGTATTGTTTGCCTTATTCAAAACATAAAAATGTCCAACTGACACCAAATTGCAGTTTCTATGATAGTTGTATACTACTTTAAATATATAAAAAGTTTACAACTGCCTGTTCATTTGCTTTCAATTTATTAAAAATTTCCATTGTGATGAAGTTATTTCAGAAAAATGAGTAAAATATTGTTTTATAATCTTGTAGCATAGTATATTGATTAATAAGATATACACAGTTCATCTGTAGCTTACTGAGAAAATAAATTGACAGTGTGTCAAAAGTATATGTTATCTTGAATATTTATTTGTCACAGTTTGTGTATTCTTATATTATAAATTTGGTCAAATTTTTTTGATTGAGCAGTACTTTTCAGTGCCTAAGTTTAATTATAATGCCTTTTTTTTTTTTTTTAATGTTCTTTGTTGATGATTGCATCATTTTATTTTTGATTTCATCCATACTTTTCAAACTCAGCAAAGTACAAGTGTCCATTTCATTTCTTATGGTGAATGCTTTAGGTTAGGTTACCAGGCAGAAAATCATTGTCTTTTTAGATTTATGAACATTCGGGAAGGTTTCTTTCAAGACTTCAGCAACTGTTTGGTAAGAATACGTTGCAAAGTAATGTTGGATTTTAAAAATTCGGTCTGCTGGAGAAACCTTACCTTCTTTTTACACTAAATAAATGGTTTTCAATGTTGAACAACATCAGAAATTTCAAGTGATATATTACCTGGGATAATATAGGGTGTCATCCATTGAAACAATTTGTCATTAATGTCTGTTTTGGAATTTTATAATTTTTAAAAGTTTGATGCCTTCAGCTTTTGTTTTATCATGTGTATTTGCATCTTTGTAGTGCATCATAACAGGAATTACTAATTTTTATTATTTTGTTTCTTTAACTTTTGTTTTCCTGCAATTAAGTATGCTGAACATATATAATACCTGTCAACTTTTCAGTATGAATTGATAAATTTTCCCCTACTATAATTGAATATCTGCCAAACTTTGTTTTTTAATCTTTTATTATTTTAAGTGTAATATGATAAGCTGTGTTAATGTCTTTAATGCAATTTTAATAATTACATGAACTCTTGATTATCTGAATATAGATAATCAATGAATCATATTTTTAAAACATTCTCAGAGTGGTACTTAAAAATAATGGAAAACTTTAATTTTTTTTTTTTTTTTTTTTTTTTTTTTTTTTTTTTTTTTTTTTGTTGTTGCTGGGAAGTTTTATTTCTAAGGTTTGAAATGAAGTTGAATGGTTGGGAAAAAAACTGATGTCCGATAGCATAAAATTGAAAGAGCTTGTTTATGTAAAAGCATCAGGCCTTGTTGAAATTATTTCTGATATTAGAGGTTTTGGAAATAAAGGTTTGTAAAGAAAGTAATGTCTGTAAATGCAAAGAAGTAGAAAACTACTTGTGTTAGGAACTTATCATTCTTGAAATTGAATAATGTGTAAACAAGCTGTTAATCTATGGATGAATGAATTTGGTTCGTATTTAATGGTAATTTAATTGCTTTGCAAAGTTTTTGTCATATTTGTAAAGTATTTTTCCTTCCTCACCATGTACCTTTGTGTTGTGATTAGAAAGCACACCTGGCTACCATTTGGGAGGTACATATTTTGAATCCCAGTGACGGTTGTAGAGTCTCGTTTTCTTGGGTAGCATGAACTACGAGACCTAAAAAACCATGAGGAATTAGCTTCAGGTCTTAGTACGACAAAAGAAATTAGTAGTAGGGTGTAAAGAACCCTTTATTCATTCAGTATAATTTCACAGATGGCCCCACTTGGACATACATAAAGCCAACATTTCTGACTTAATACAAAATGGATAACGCTGAACTTAAAATGTACTAAGTTTAGCCTAACAGCTCACAGGATAACTGAATGAGATTTGTAGAAGTCGGCGTAAACAAGCCTAAGGCTAGAAGCGCTGACACCACATAAATGCCGATAATTAAAGATAACAGTATGGCCTTCAAATAGCATAATACTCTCTAAAATCACCTTTCAAAACCTTCCTTTAAATAACACTTCTTTCTACCTTATTTCATGTATTGTCTGAAAGAATGCCAGTTCAGTGTTTAATGGATAGTGTTTAAACAAATTTTAATCAGAAGAAAAACTGAAAAATCTGTAAAAATTTTATTGATTATAATGAATCCCAGTTTATTTTGTGCAGTGCCAATGCAGTAATCATAATCTGAGTGAGTCTGTTATTTTAAAATTTAGACTTATAGGTCATTGCTAGGCCCCCTCATTCGCAATTGTAATTCATTGTTTCATCATTGCACAGTGTTTATTTTCTCCACATCTTTGAGGCCATAGTTCAAGTTAACTTTCATTTGTGTTCTTTTCATGAATGAAAACATGCTGGACAGAACTAAAGTGGGGTTAAATGTTCAATGATTCGACCTTTTTTCTGGAGCTGTTTTCATGATTGTGAATTAAATTGGGCAGCAGAAAGTAACTTGAAAATTCCTATTTTAAAGAAACATACCATAGTTTTGGATTTTCTGTATTACCCATCCATTAATCCCAATTATCTGTACTAGTAATGGATGGGTATCCATACATATACATCCATTAACTGTATGCATAATTGGGAGTTCAGTGTATATTACAAATGTTATTGTGTGTATGCATGTAAAATGTTCAGCCTGTTGACAATTAAAGGAGTGCAAAAGGAATTCGCTCCTTAAATGCAACATAGTCATTCGTGTGATCTATAATATTTTGTTGTGAAACTGAACCACAGCATTAGCAGAAAATGCTGTTTTTTTGCATAGTATTCTGTTATACGTGAATTAGTATTTATCATTAATATGTATAGCTAGTTATATTGCTTCTTACTGTGTGGCACTATTTCCCAACAAAACTTGTGAGAAACCTTAAGCTGTTGGAATAAAAACCCACATGGAAATGCAGTCCTTTTAGGAAATGGAATATTGTTTAGTTGTTCATAACAAGTCATAGAACTTTAAATTAATTAGAACGATTTAAGTAAGGCATAATTTTATTTGATCATGAGTAATATTTTACAAAGTACTTAACTTTCTTTTCACCTTATTATTTCATTTAATTTTTCAGATATATTTAATTTGATTAATTATACATTTATCATTAATTTATTGTGTTTACTTATATATTTATCATTAATTTATTTTGTTAATATTTATGTCTTTGCATTTCATATGATTTATTACTCATTATTGTTATATGTTTTATTATATTAATTTATTTTTGGTTAAAAAAGTCCTTTGATAAGGCATGCAATACTTTCGGTTTTCAAAATTAAGCCCTGGAGAGGATGGAATATAATAGCTTTCAAATTCTGAATCAGTTAAAGCCTTTGAATGTGAGGCATTAAAGCTTATAATCTATTGGTCTACTCAGCTAAAAAAGGCACTAATTTAGCTGCAATATCGGTTGATTGTGATCTGTAATTGTTTTACTTACAAGTAAACCTTCTCTCCTTTGACACTGGTTTCCCGGAAATCCATATATTTTTTAAAAGCTTGTGTCACAAGTAGGAAAACTCTGAAATCTTAAGGGCAGGGGGACAAGTGTTTAGGAGCTATAGGGCCCACAAAGTATCAGAAAAGTGCTGAAAATATGACACCAAAAGTCACTAAAATGCTTGTTTTGCATATTTATATGAACTAATAATATGGTAAGAAGGTGGGGATCCCAATATAAAGGAAGAGACAACTCATTGAAAAGAAACATATGTTGGGATGTTGAAAATGTGACTTCTTATTGACTTCAAACAAAATCTATTACAAGAGACAATCAATGTCTTCAAATAATCAGTGAGACGGGCAGAAAGACACTTCACAATGGGCACATTTTACAAAAGCGATAGTCTCGTACCTTGCACACTCATCATTTGTCAGTGAATCGAAGCAGTTATCCATCGATGCAATCCACATTCCAGGTTCGTCGTCCAAGTATCTGCCCTTATAAAAAGCATACTTAATCATGCTCTTAAAATGAGGAACTGATGTAGTGAAAATGACTGCAGGGCTTGAAAAACTATCGCGTTGCCAAATGTACTCCTGCTATCTTGATAATGATTGTGCCTGTTATGTAATGAACAAAAGATTTGTAGCATATGAAAAAATGAATATCCAGAAGCTGGATCTTTCCCAAAAATCCTTCAGGTATCAGTTCCTTTTGTAGGACTTTACCATCAGGTACTTCGGAAGCAGACAATGCATGAACATACAAGAAATAAAGACGTCATTACGGAAATATGCCAATCTGTACACACTTCAATAATACTTTGTGGGTTCTGTAGCTCTTAAACGTTTATCCCTCTGCCCCCCAGACTTCACAGGTTTTCTATTTGTGATATAAGCTTTCAGAAAATGTATGAGTTTCTGGAAAACCGGTATCAAAGGGAAAAAGTTTACTTGTTGGTATTTTTATAGCAGCATTATATACACTTAAAAGTAGCATGCTAGTTTTTTTGCAAAATGCAATTACTCCCATCCTTACTTTGAAAGGTTTCTGATTAAAGGTTACTTCATGACCCAAAGACATTATTTAAAATTTGTTACATTCTGATTCCTCTAAACTTCATAAATTTGTCGACAATCTAAAATTCGTGTTTGAACAATCTGAAATTCGTGTTTATTTTATTTTATGTTTTCGATAGGAGATTTTCTGGTAAGGTCTGAGTAGAAAATGTCTATCTTGTTTTATATTGTCATTTATTTAATATGTTAATTTAATAGATAAAGTTATAATCTATTAATTATTTTTAGTAGGTGGTTCTCCGTACCTAGCTGCAAAAATAAATGAGGCTAAGGACTTGCTTGATAAAAATTGATGCTGAGTGATTATCTAATTCATATTGTTTCAGAACATAATAGGTTGCCAGTTATTTTAGAAAAGAAAAGATCTTGAACTATTGAAACATTGTAAACAATGAAAAGATATGAAAAATGTTTTGAAAATATGCAAAAACATTCATGTTTTTAAAATATTAGAATTGATCCTTAACTAGTGTTATTAAAGAGTCCTTTATTCAAATAACTGACATTTTGTTTTTTCATTCTGATGACTATTTTTAGACTAAACTATTTTGTAAATTTTCTGTAAATGTTTTATGATATGTTTTCAATTTATTATTATTAAATCAAGGAAATTTTGTAATTGATCAGAAATTGACTTGTAACAACAAATAAAATAATTTTTTAACAATAAATGTGATTTTAAAATCTTTTATTAAAGAAAATATTATTGTTATGAATGTTCATTTATATTATGCTTTCTTCCAGTAATAATCAATAGTATTGTGCTGATAAATTATTTATTATTTAATCTCCTCTGTTATTTCTTAATCTCAATTATCAAATATTTTTTTTTATAATACATATTTAATTTTTGGTTGCAATGAAATTTTAATTATTTAATTGTATTTTAGGATTCTTTCTTTTCCCCTTTTTTCTTCTAACACATGTATCTAAAATTGCACAGAGCATTTTTTATTAATTGAATGTAAATTTATTCAAATATTTTAGGAATGCATAAAAACATATATTCAAATTTTAATTCAATGCAATCATGTACACACAATAAAAACTTGAATAATGAAGCAGAACACATAAAATAGTATAAATTATAAAGGTGCATATGTAGTAAGAAAATGTAATTTTTTTTTAACTTTGAAAATCTATTACAATAGTAACATAACAGTTGAATAGAAACTTACATATGAAATACTGCATTACATCTTGCTGCAATTAAAAAGAAATACACAACAGTACAGATTTATAAAAATGCTTCTAATGTAGCATCTTCAAGTTAATGTGCGTGAATCTGCTTTGTACAAGTGCAGTTTTATGCATTTTAACAATAATAGATATTAAAGTGAATCACATAAATATATTGTCTGTGTAGTTAAATTTTTCTTTTATGAATAAATTATAAAATGAACCCTGAATTATATATTGATTATCACATTAATCTGAAGTTAAACTGTATATTTTTACTGAAAATTTCTTCATTGTTTTAAAAAAAAATCTTGTAAAAATATATATTTAGTGCAGCTTATCTGATGTTTTTGGGATCAGCTTCGCTAACTATTGTAGCATAACAAATGTAGAATTGCATGTGTATACTAATAAGTGTCATAAAAGTGACTGAACACTTCCATCAGGAAGAAGAAATAAAGGAAGAGTGTAAATGACTAGTTATTAAAAATGTTAAATGTCACAGACAATTATATATACAATGTATTTGTATTATAGCCTTGTATTTGCTTGAGGCTGTGATAACCATTCTTCCGCGAAATTCATAGACAATATAACAACAGCAACAACATTTGTGTTATTTAAAAGAAACTTATAAGTTAATATGAAATTAGTTACAAAATCTTCTAGAGTGTGTGTTAGAAATACCCACTTATTTTGGCATGTTTACATTTTGTTTATTTATAATTCAATTGTAACAATTTTGTGGGATGAAAAGAGGGGGCAAAATTTTAAGATTGGATGAGTAGAGAGTTAGTAATGAAAGAATTGTTCACATTTATTTTATGGCAAAAGGAGTTAAATCCCTTTTTGATTTTTACTGTTTGCTAGAGGAATAAAATGTGCCACATGTTCAGAATTCAGCGATTTGATTTCTCAAAGGAAAATATAATGATGAATAAATGTTTGTAAAAGGGTAGATGCATGAGACTTGTTAAAACTCATCTAATAGTTTTGAATGGAATTAAAGGTCTGTCTTTACATTAGTTTCTATTATTCAATAAAATGCTGATACACTGTACTGTATAATTCCTACTTATATTTTAAAAAGATATTTAAAAAAAGAGGGAGCTTTTTTCTAATGTCGCATCATTTCAACCACTCAAGCTAAAATTATATCCGATTAGTACGATTTCACGGAACCTTTTGTTCGAAAACTGCAATGCATTTATAGTAAAAATATTAAATTAATTTGAATATATTAGCTTTTATTGCAAAATATTCTCTGAATAGCAAGTAAAGTCATTTAAAATTAGTTAATATTATTATTATTATTCATTTTAAACTTCCTTTTCTTTTTTAAAGGTTTTATGTGATAGAATGTAGCAGTTGATATAAATAACAAAATTTTATTAACTTTCTTTTGAAAAATTTGGTAGAAATTAATTCTTTCTCTACACCATTACATCTGATTAATATTTATTTTTTAAGTTTTTATCCTTCAATGAAATCATTTGTATGTTTTACAAATAGAGTGTATAAGTTGCCTTATAGATGAAATTCATAAATTGAAGTGAAAAACAATTCACTTGAAGTAATACCTCATTATCTGCAGTTTTGATTATCCAGGCAGAAGAAAAATAAATTATAAAAATTATTGTATTAATTATGCAGCTGGCCAGATTGCATTGAACTCGTGAGCTATGAAGAGTAAGAAAAGGGCTGCTTGTCTGTATTTTGGTGGCGTAACAAATGTTCCTGGATTACTGCACAGATGTTTAATGATTGGTTCAATAATCACTTTGTTCCAGAAGTGGAAGTACGTAAGAATATGATTCTTACTTAACGTAAGAATCATATCTCTAAAAGTTTTATTGTAGATTGATAATTTTCCAAACATACAATCCTTCAAATCAGACCATTTGAAGTTATAGCCTCACCTTTTATAAACATTAGATTATGCTGAATGAAATAAACTTATTAAGAGATGAAAAACCACAAAGGGAAGGCCAATGAAGTCAGAAAAGCCCTTGCCATGCCATTTCCAGTAACAGTAAACATTTCAATGTATATTGGTGAAAGCTGCTTAGAGAATTTGTGAGGGAAAAGTCCTGGGATTCCTTCTTGAGGACTCCAGTTCCCTATAACAGGTTAAGAGGTACAGGTAAAGTAAATTTTCTTTTTCAAAATTGGCAATGATTATTAGCAAAAATATCTCCATCATATGGGGTCTGGCAATTCTCCCTTGGGAAGACTGACGTAGCTGCTGACCACCTTTACATTTGCCCCTATATTAATGACGTCGCAGGTAGTGATTCTGAAGAGTATGTAAACTTTTTCCTTTTTTCTAGATTTATCGAGCGCGTTAATACTGAAAAGCCAAAGTCCAGTGTAGGATTAAAAAAAAATAATCAATTGATAAATATTAAGTCTAGGAATGATTGTCATTTTTTGAAGCCTGTTAAGTGTGAAGAACTTCCAGTGACTTATTGCAAAACATGGGAAAACCAGTCACTAGAAACTTAAAAACTAGAAAAATTACAAAATTGTACAATATTGCAAACCCCCCCCCCTTTTTTTTTTTTTTTTTTTCAAAATCAAGGATTTGATTGTGATGTGACCAAACCTTCAATGGTAATACTTTTTTTAACTATGGTAATATTTTTAACTATGATAATAGTTTTTACCTAATACTTTAAGCTATGGCCAAAAGAATTAACACGAAATAAGAACATGATTTTAATTTAAACTACCGATATAATGTTAATCATAAAAGGTTTTGAAGCAGTAATGAAAAAAATGGAAGAAATGATTGAATGCCAGGCAGGCAATTGTATTTGTCAGATTTCTGAAATAACTGTGTTTGAAAGAGATTAGTGTTTTTACATATATTTATTGTTGTGGGCCATTTAAAGCCCTGTCCTTATTTATTAATTTTCAAGCTAATGCCTTTTCATAGATATAAAGACATTTTGAGGGAAAGGTTTTTTTTTTTTTTTTTTTTTTTTTTTTTTTTTTTTTTTTTTTTTTTTTACTTTTTTAATATTCACTTAATAAGCAATAAAAAAGAGAACTGAAAGTTATGAATGTCTATTATAATCAGAAAAATCCGTAATTCAGAGTTTATTGAGAATAAATTATCATTATGGGAAAATTAGGGTTTATATCTAGATTTAAACCATAGTTTTTTTAAACCAGGGTTAATCTAAAAGGCATAAACCATACCTTTTAGATTTAAGGTTGTACATATTTAATTAACATTTAAACAGCAAATAAATTGGGAATTGCTAAAAGTTTTGCTACTAAAAATTACCAAAAGCTGTTCTTTATTTTATCAAAATTGAGAGTTATCCTTGACAATTAATATTCCATTTGGAAAAAATTGTATGCAGTTTTAAAAAGGACAAAATAAAACTTGCATCTTAATATAGGAAAAATATCTGCTTGGTCGCTGCCCCTTTAGAAATATGCTTACTGAACGTGATGTAGGTCTTAAATAATCTCATCCTAATTTGATCTCTGAAGTGATAGAATGTTAGCTGGCAAGCAATATCTTAGTATCATATAGAATGTTAAGTAGAGGACTTCTAGTAAAAATCTCTTTGAAGTTGACATTCAGATTATATATTTAAAATATCTTATACCTGAAAAATGATTCTAATTTTTCTGTCGTGGTTAGAATATATTTTGTCTGTTTGCACATGCTTAGTAATTTCCATCCTATGCATTACCAAGATTTTAGTGTTACTAAGCAAGATTTTTCGTATTTATTATCTTTATTTGAACCAGTTAAAACCAAAATATTGATAACCTTTGCAGTGGAATTAGTAATAATTCAATGTAATAATCGAAATGAAGTTGAAAAAATAACAGTGTTAATTGATTCACACATTTTTTGCTATTGGGCTAAAGAAAAATGAGCTGAGTATTAGCAGAATATTTGCTGCCAATCTGAATGTGTACTTAATGCATTCATCTCATATACTGAATAGCATTAGATTCTTGTCATTCACAGTGCCTAGTGCTGCCATTGCTGTACAAATATAAACAAACAAAATATATTCTAATCTTGATAAGATGTAAATCATTATGTGAATTTTAGCAGAAAAAGAATAATATTGAAGAGTTTTTATTATTTAATAAAAAAAGTATCTTTTAAAAATTATCTAATGATATTTTTTAGTTATAAAATTTCTATTTTATTCATAGCTTAATGTAGGATTAATTTTGCTATATAATGATTGAAAATTAAAGTTATCTTTAGTTTTAAATAGCTGCGTATTTTATTTCTGGAATCTGACTAAAAAATTTTTATGAAATGATAAATTAAAAAATGTA